TAAGTAGGAAATAGGGCGTGAGGAACCGACACACCCGACCAATGTTCAATCTTTAATCTTCAATAATAATGTTAATGTTAACGGCTATGTGGTATTACCTATAGGGCTCGACCGGATTTCAAATAATAATTATGGGTAATTGGCACAAAATATCCCTACCTTTCAAGTTTATTGTGGAAAACGTCCATATCTTTCATTTTTTGGCATTTTCGCCTTTATCTTCCACATTTCTTTCATCCGAACATCTTTTTCACCAATTTTTAACATAAAATGACCAAAATACCCTCTCATTTAAATAAAACAAAAAAGAATAAAAGAATAAAAAATAAATTACAATCTTGCTCCTAAATATTTTAAAAAGTGCAAGTGAGTCCAAGTAATTATTAAAATGCCTAATGGTACAAAACATCACTACATTTGGCCTATAGTGTGCATAACGTCTCTACGTTTCAAATTGGTGAAAATGACCTTTTTTGCAATGAAACATAAAAATAGGAATGAAAATAGAACAAAAAAATTAAAACGTAGGGACGTTTTCCGCAAGAAGTGTCAAATGTAGGGATTCTTTTGCTATTAGGCCTTATCCAAAAAAAAAAAAAAACTCTCTCTTCTCTTCTTCTCCAAATGGGACTGCTACTTTAGAAGTGAAAAAACTCCGACCAACCATCACTCAAACCGCCGAACCTACATGCCACTGAACCATCTATTGATATTTTAAGACCATGAAGAGAGACACACTAGTGAGTATAGTCGATTGGTGTGTTGGAAATGGCATGAGTCTCTCCAAAACAGGTGATGCCACCAGTATTTGCATTCGCGAGTTGGGTATTTTGGCTTTCAATTTCGAACAAATCTATTGGCATGAAAGATTCAAGGTTGGATGTTGGGTGGTATGTGTAGAGAGAGTGAGTGGTTTTTGGTGGTATGGTTGTCCAATAGCTTGGGTGGTGGTTGCTAGAATTTTTTTATTTCTAAGGTGGCTGACCCATTTGGAGGAGAAGAAGAAGAAGAAGAGAGAGACAGAGAGAGATTTTGTTATTTTTAATATTTTAATAAGGCTTAATAGCGAAAAAATCCCTACATTTGACACTTACAAAAAACGTCCCAATTTTTCAATTTTTTTTGCGTTTTCATCCATATTTCCACGTTTCATTGCGGTAAATGTCATTTTTCACCAATTTGAAATATAGAGACGTTTTGTGCTATTAAGTCTTTTAATAATTATTTGGACTCACTTGCATTTTTTAAAACATTTAGGAGTAAAATTGTAATTTATTTTTTATTTTTCTTTTCTTTTTTTGGTTTTATTTAAATGGGAGGGTATTTTAGTTATTTTACGTTAAAAATTGGTGAAAAGGACGTTGAATGCAAAGAAATGTGGAAGATAAGAGCGAAAATGTCAAAAAATGAAAGGTAGAGACGTTTTCCACAATAAATTTGAAAAGGTAAAAATGTTTTGTACCAATTACCCTAATAATTATCTATTGCATTCTAATTTGTTAGGCAATAAACCAAGTGAGCTCACCACATAAATGTTAAGTTTTTAAAGAAATGAAAGATAGGGGTACATATTGAGAAATATTTTTATTTTAAAGCAATTCATGTACATATAATAAGTATGCATCATATGCATAAAGTTTGCTTACTGCACATTAGCTCTTTTCACGTTATCGCTTCCCACTTTCAGATAATGAAGGCAATGATTCGAGATGACTACTTGTAGGGCGATAGACTCGGTACTAATACATTCAACAATCGACTCCTTTTAGAAAATAAAGTTAACATTTAATTTTATTATTTTTCATATAAGTCCAAAAGTTTTCTACAAATTATGCTCATAAATGAAGTTAATGATGTTCATTATATTAGCGAAAAATTTAATCACTTCCGCATGTGTGATTTCAAGGAAAATGAAATGATAATATTTTCAAATCTAAGTATTTAGATTTGGGGGTGTTACAATTTGTTATTAGAGCCAAAAGTTGTAAAATTGATACTGTAGACACTAAAAATACATTTAAAAAGGGGGTATCATACTGAGTTCTTACCACTAGAGGTCCTCTCACGATCATTGGGTAAGGTTGAATTAGATTTTTCACATTGCTAATGCTTAATTTTTGGAGTAGCAACACAATTATAGTAATGTTGTATATGATTATACCAAAGATGCCTTTGATTATGTTGAAAGAGAAGTAGATGAAATAATTGATTTTTCTAGTTCATGGTCGAATAATATCACTGGGACAATATGACAATATAGTCAACACATTATATTTATCGAGAAATTAGTGGAGTCACTTATACATGGACGCACTTTTAAGTGGTCGATCAACAACCTTGTAAGTCATAATAGAATTCAATATTCTTAGGTGTTTTATGTAACTCTATGTTAAGATTTCGTGGAAGACTTGGATCATGGGCAACCAAGGGATTACTCCACTATTAATGTATCAAAATCTTAGGAGAAGACAATGGGCTCATAATTAAGAGGATAACTCTAGGTAACTTATTTTTAAGAAACTATATGTTGGAAGAGGCATCGTAGGATAGCATGATATGTGCGAAGTTTACACGTTTATTCAGTATATTATAATTTCGAGGACGAAATTTATTTTAAGGGGTAGGATTTTGTAACAATGTGTACTTATTTGTTATGATTATCGCGTCTATCTGGATGAGTTGCATTTATGTTATATTTATTGTTGATTTATTATAATTATCGTAGTAGTGACTAACTGTGTTGATGCAGTGGAATGTATATTGGACGGATGGTTGACGTGTCTAGTAGTTCTAAACTTGAGATACATATTATTTTGTTGAATTTACAATTTAATGTTCTTTGGATGCCCTTGACAATTAGCGTGTCTATTAATTTGATTATTATTTGTTTATAATTTTATTTGTTAAGCACATTTTTATCTAAGTTAATTAAAAATAATAACCAGAGATTTAATAATGGAAATTTAGTAACCTAATCAATCAAGTTTACGGCTAAATAATTTTATAGGGAAAGGTTTCGAGTTTAATTACATAATTAACAGATTTTATGCCACAAAAACTTCACTAGATTAAAACTATTGATTTTTCTTGCTTATACATCTCCTTCCAAGTTAAATTATATATGCTTCCTAATTCCAAGGAATTACCTTGGACGCCTCTTTCCCATAAATGAAGGCAATGATGTTCATCATATTAAGAAAAAATTAATTATTTTCGCATTTATGATTTCAAGGAAAATAAAATGATAATACTTTCAAATGTAAGTATTTAGATTTGGGGGTGTTACAGTATACATTATTCAAGAAAAGTATATTCAATTATTATTTTAAAATTCCATAAATAAACATTGACTCACCGATCCGATCAGTAATTTAGTGTGGGTCAATGTCTGAGTTGAATCCGATAACTATACATGTACGGCATGAACATTTCCAATATTCTCATTTACTAGAATCTAAAAATTGTGCATATTGAAAATATGTATAGCAGTTTTTAAGGATAAGAATATGAGGAGAGCAATAAAATCTTGATTATTATTTAATAACAATCAATTATGACTACATATATATCTTTAAAAAAATCCATTTTATCTATTTTATACGAAAATAACATTAAGGGTGTGTTTGATTACATTTATTTTCCATGAAAAATATTAGTTTTCCATCCAAATTTTCACTTGGAGTGTTTGATTGCTATTTTTTTCTATGGAAAATATTTTCCAACTTTTGAAAACATGCCTAATTTTCCTTGTTTTTAAGGAAAATATTTTCCTTGGGTAGAGGTGGTTTTTATTTTCCACAAAAGATGGAAAATATTTTCTTTTCTAGGTAATATTTTTCATGTCAATCAAATACACTCTAAATTATGACTTGAATTTAGAAACAAAAATGTCAAAGTTTGATATTTTTAAATGGTCATATTAAAGTATGATAATTATATTTTTTCCAAAATTAAAACTAATTCATGTTTGACAACTATTAAAATGAGTTCTAGACTAAGAAAAAGTTATGTTTATATGCAAAATATTTTATTGTAAGAATTTGCGATTTCAAAATGAGTTTATGGGGAAAAAAAGAATTATATTATACAGAAAATTTTTCACAGACACAGGTGTCAAAATATCATTCAAAGATGGGAAAAAAACATAAAATACAGATGAACAAGATTTTTCCATTTCGAAATCTTGTATGAATTCTGTAAGCTTTCCCTGTACTCAGGAAAAAAAAAAAAAAAAAAAAGGTCTTATTTTAATAGTTGCCAAACGAGGGGTTAAAACTTAATTGTTGTTCAATCTTAAAAAATGTAGCCCAAAATTCTTAAAACTGAGCCCAGCCCAATATAAAACATGCACTTCCCGCCGTAGCCACTCTCAATTTAAAATCCCGCAATTTCCCTCTCATTTTCATTTCCAAATAAGTTCTATTTTCCTTAAAAAATATCTTCATTGACTTTCATCGAACCTTTTGGGAGATCAGATTCAGAGAGAGAAAACGGAAATTGTGGAGTTTAGAGAGAGAAAGTAGGAAATGTGGAGAGAGTCTGTTAGGGTTTCTGGAAATGGACTACCCTGAATCTACCATACCCTCCGCAGGGGACGCTACTGAAACTGTTCCCGTCCAAGTACAAGAACGGAACTCTATACCTTTTCTATAAATAAAATATGTAAAATTGGGGAATTTTATACCTTTTTTTTTCATACGATTTCGTTTGGGTTAATTAATTTTTTTTTATGAAATTTACACACATGGACACAAAATGTATGCCATTTAGATGTGTAAATTTATAGCATTTTTTTAGTTTTTACTTGACTTTATGTGCATAAATTAATTTTAAGCTGATTTGCACTATTTTGGTAATGGGGTGAGGATTTTAGTTGAATTTTTAGATGGGTATTGTAATTTTATATCTGTGTAATGTGTTTTCCCTTTTGGTAAATTTAGATACTATGTGGCACTGTACTCGGTCTCCTATCATTTAATTTTTCGTTCTCCCAAGAAATGCATCTGGTTCATGTTTTTGACAGTTAACTTAAACCAATCTGCTCTAGCATCTTATCATACTCTACTCATCTATACAGAAGCACATATGTTGCATGGACCATTCATCGATGCTTTGAATTGTGAAGTAAGATTATCCTGTTAAAACAATCTGTAAAATTGATGCCAAATGTAATTTGAAGCATAATTTTTGTTATCGATTTCTATTAGAAGTGCTTAATTTGATTTGGATTTTTTTTTTTTTTAAAGAAAAAGAAATTCAACATGTTGCATCAATTGTGCTGAGCTTTAGGTAGTTCAGATTTTGACTTTCTTCAATTTTGGTGCCATATGACACATGCCAAAAATGATAGAAGGTACTCTGTTTATTGATGTCGATAACATTTTGGTCGCAGTCATACATGTCAATGGATCTTAAGAGCATATGTCATAGTTATATGATAATAAACCAATATTTAGAGAGGATGCACATGTATCTCCAATTTATATGGATAGAGAAGTTTGTTGAATTATAACCTTTAGCACTCACATTAATTGAAAAAATTATAAGCATTTTTGCACATATAAATCACATACTAAGTTCTAGTAGATTTTATTTAAATGGCAAGTATAGAAAATAATTTTTGCTTGGATTCTAGTGAAACAATATCTTGGAGTGAAGAAAGTAATTTTTGCTTGGGTTCTAGGGAAACAATATCTTGGAATTTTGAAAATTGCTCTTTGTTAAATCAGGTATTAAACATTACTAGAAATTTTAACTCACAAGGTTTGTACAAATTTATTAGGCTGCTCAACACCATGGCTTGCATGTACGTAGTCTCCAGTTTGAAGATGCTCAGCAGAAAGTAGTAACAAATAGGCATGTACAAAACACTTCAGGTATTGAAAATAGTTCTAGGCCACTTGCCTCTTCTGCAGATAGAGGGGGCCCCAAATCACTATCCTTGGAGACACCATCAACTCCCATTCGTCGGGTTGGTATGACCCAGCATACGGATTATCCTGGAAATAGTGGGAATTATAGCATAAATTTTCCAAAGCCCGTAGGTATTGGCTTGCACCTAAATAGCATTGTCAGCACTACGCAAGCAGGAACTGGAGAAACTGTAATTGTGAAATCATCTGAAAAGGGTATTTTAAGTATACGGAATGAGCAACAAGTGACTACTCTGAGCTCTCATCTATCTGAAAACTCAAAGAACTCTTCATATTTGTCTGTGTTGGAGAGTGTTCTCGGAAGTCCTGATGAAAGTAGGCGTGAAAATGATCATGCCTTGGTGGCAGCTAATTCTGCTATTTCTGTGTCCACTTATGACGCAAAACCTTTGGACAACCCTATGGTCTGTAATCCAATTGAGGATCAATCAACTCCAGTTAACAAGAGGAAGTCTAACGCTGGAAATGCTGATGATGCAGAGGAGTTTAACAAGTCAAGCCCCAAAAGGAAGAGGCAAGCCTACAACTTATCTTATGAATAATGAGTTTTATTAGTTGTCTCCATTTTTACTACATTATTTTAGCTGCAATTTTTCCAGGAAGAAAACACCCGAGTCCAATGATGATTACAGTAGCAAACTTTGCAACTGCAAGAAGTCTAAATGCTTGAAGCTGTAAGCGCATAAAATGTTTTCTTACAAATTTAGATTTACACTTCTATCACGTGCTTTTGTAATTTGTTTCCTTGTAGTTACTGTGATTGCTTTGCTGCTGGAATATATTGTGAGGAACCTTGTTCTTGCCAAGGGTGCTATAACAGGCCTGAATATGAGGATACGGTTCTAGAGACACGCCAACAAATTGAATCTCGCAATCCTCTGGCATTTGCTCCAAAGACAGTACAGAACTTCATTTATCCATCTTCAAGCATTTGTGGGGTATTGAGGCATCGAAATTTATAATTTTGCTGTACAACAGTGCAATGTTAACTGAATTATTAAGTTGAAATGTTCACAGGAAGATGAGACTCAGTTATCAAAGCCCTCCATAAGGCACAAAAGAGGGTGCAATTGCAAGAAGTCGATGTGCCTCAAAAAGTACTGTGAGTGCTATCAGGTACGTGGGTGTGCTTATGGGCATGATTATCTACGTTGTTTTTTCGTGGGGTTGGGGCTTAGAACCTCTGAGTCATGCTAAGTACTACTTAATTGCATTTGCTCTTATAAAATGAGTTTTTTTGTACCTTATAATAGGCAAAAGTTGGTTGTTCTGATGGATGTCGATGCGAAGGATGTAAAAATGACTATGGCCAAAAGGGAGGTATGATTTGCATTTGAAGTTCTGTTATCACATTGCATGAGATTCTACTTGTTAATACTCAGGAGACTTGAGGAATAGCTATTAATGTGTCTGAACAGGCAAATAAGACTATAAGAATATGAATTGCTCTCTATGGAAATGACCTGGAGATGCTCCATATATATCTAAGTAGAAAAATATGCTGCTTGCTTAGCAGGTTTAGCTTTGTTTGAACACTGTTAAATCTGGACTAGTTTTCTTATGTGTTTCTTATTGCCTCTATTTTATTTTATTTATTTTTTTATTTTTCAGTCTGTATAAGGTTTTGAATTTGGGGGTACCAATGAGAGTATAATGACAAGTACGAAAATAGATATTTTCTTGTACTCCAACAAAGTGATATATAGCAATTTTAAGTTATTATAAATTATAAAGTATATCTCTGAACTTTTTGTGGTTTCATTTCTATTTGAACTGGATGCTCCATCTTTCAGAATATGGCATGGATAACGTTGTGGGCATGCAAGGTACTGATGAAACAACAGATGGCTCCTCTGTTGAAAAACTTGAAATGGTGGGGTCTGGAAATGCTTTGTATCATACTGAGCTAAGCAATCCTCATAATTTGACTCCTCTGACACCATCATTCCAATACTCAAAGTAAGATTAGTTCTTTCTAGATACATTTCGATTCCCATGCACTTAATTTCTGGTTAAATGATTAGCTAGGTACTTGAAATTTGAAATAGCTTTGTGGGCAAATATTTTTCCTTTTTCTCCTGAAATTGTGCAGCCAGGGAAAAGGTGCATCAAAAGCTTGGTTCTCTTCTGGAAAATACTTCCATTCACCAGAATCTGGTCCCACCTTTGGGGCACCATGCATCACGTTCCCAAGGTCTCCTGGGAATGTGTATAATTCTGATATGATCTCAGAATCTTCTAAAGAAATTCTGGATCTAGATTCTTTTGATCATGAACTAGATTACCACAAAGCAGAAGCGGTCAATGACTTCTCATTTGGGCACCATGGACCTGGCAATAAGGAGCTTCTTGCTGGTCCGCTAAATGCAGGAGAATCGGAAAACAATTGGAAAGTTCAACCATTTTCTGGAAGTGGACATTTTTCTCCAGCAAGCTCCCTTCGTTGGCGTGGTTCACCGATCACCCCTATGGCTCAGTTTAGTGGGACTAAACTTCCTCAAGCTGCTGACTATTATGATGGTTTACACAACATTCTGGAAGATGACACACCAGAGATTCTGAAGGACACTCCTAACCCACTCAATGCTGTGAAAGTAAGATCTCCAAATAAGAGGCAAGTTTCTCCCCCTCATGAACATTCGCTTGAGCTGGGTTCAAGGTCATCAGAAGGCCTGAGAATTTCTCGCAAGTTCATACTGCAAGCCGTTCCCTCATTCCCACCTCTTACGCCTTGTGTTGAATCTAAAAACGCTGGACAAAAAAAGACATAATCCGCAGAATTGTAGCAACAGCAGGATATGAGATGAAGCATATGAGGTAAGTGTTGACAATTACATCGTGGGAAAATGGATGTTATGCCCAACAGGTTTTTTGGGGCATGATTTCACAATGTTATCCTGTGTCTGTTTTTCTTCAGGACCTGCTCTATACCCTCAAATGGTTTTTCATCCATATCAATGAAAGCAACCTTTAGGTCACTATAATCTGCCAGGTATAGGCATTACTTGCAACATGTTTGGTAGAAAGTATTGGACACCTTTGACATGATCAAGAAAGAAAAAGATAAGAAACTAAAATCAATCAGGTCCAATACTGTGTACTAAACATGCATTTTGGAATATAAGCTCAATTCATCTTCTAATCCTGCTTTTTATTGTCCTTATTAAAAACCGAAGTTGCAACGCTTTTCGAGGCTCCAAATACAAAAATGAAAGAAAGCCTCCAGTAGAATGGAAGATTTCCAAATGTACAGCATCCTGTCCAACCCCCTTCATGTTCATACTTTCTAGATGTTAAACAGATGCTGCATACTGCTATACTCTATTGGTTAGGAAAAAAACAAGTCGGCCTTTTTGATTTTCCATGATGAATGCCATGTTCTGAGGGAAAGAGACTCGTATTTTTTAGGCATTTAATTTCTGAGAGTACATTCTCTAATAATAAAATTTGAGTCTTGACTCAAGTCAGTGTATAAAATTAATAATCTTGCTTAATGTATTAAATTATAAATTTATTTAAAATCCTTTAGAGCCCAATGAAAATATAAACTAATAATTGATCATATACATAAAATTTTATCAGGAATTTTGCACTTGAAAGCTCTTTCAATTCAATTTTTATACATTAAAGTTGCTTGCTTTTTCTTTTAACTCAAATTGAACTCAATCTCTACCCTTTTTTTTTTTTTTATGGTACTTTGTAGAAAATAATTATTAAAAATTAAGATATTTGAAAGATTTATTTTGGTCAAATAGTTGGTAGAACACAATAATCATCTCATCATGATTATATTCAGTAAGTGTTTAGTATTCTTTTAGTAATCTCTTCATCAATGAGTTATTTTATCACTAAACTATTTTTTCTAGGATAAATCGAAAGGTGATCAACATTCATCACTTTTTTGTAGGGTTAAAATGAGGTCACATTATCTATTGAAAAATTAATAACCCTCTAAAATAATAAAATTTGAGATTTGCTATATATACACATTTATTTTTGTTAAAAATAATTTTTAATCATCCGATCACAAATTATCAAGTATGAATTTGGCACCAATTTAGCAAAATGAATATATACAAGTAGTATAAACCAATAATTTTATTCGGCCCAACATTATTATTTGAATCAACTTATAAGCAAATCCTTTAAGCTCAGCCACCAGTTCCTTGCTAGAATTAAATTCTATTCAAACCTGCCTAGAATACATCAAAGGAAAGGAAAGAAAATTGCTCTACCGAAATTGTCACCTTTATGACCGAGGGCTCCATAAAGTTGATGTCAAAAACAAATAATAATAATAATAATAATAATAATAATAATAATAAGATTAAAATTAAAAATTAAATATATGAAAAGGACGACACAACAACCTAATACATCAATCGATAGCATCAGCATTTGATCGAATAAAAGAATCTACCAAAAGCACTTCAAATAGTTTCATTGATCAGCAGCCTTACATGTGAAGGATGAAATCAGTTACATCTCAAGTTTGAAGCCAAGAAAAGGTAAAAGGACAAAAAAAGGAGAAAAAAGAGGGTAGAGGTTGTTTGATCTCTTCTTGTAAGAGATGGAAGGAATTTTTTAATTGTACAATCAGAGTTGACGACGTCCTCATATAAGGGGGTCCATGATTTTTTTATTCATTGTGGGCCCTTCTTCCATGCGTGTGGTTGCCTGAAATATTCATACAATTGAATTGCTTGAAATTTACTTTCTTTTCTTGCAAATTTCATATTCGCAATTAAACACAGCCCCCGTTTGGCTCTCATTCTTCGTCTTATTTTTCTCTCTCTTATTTTCAATCACACAATCTTTCATAAAATAATATTACACGCAAATAAAAAAAACCTTTAATTTTTTTTCAACCACACATTTTTCAAAAAAACACTATTTCAATCACTAAAATTTGGAAAGAATTGGGGTCAAACGGGAGCATATTTTGTTTTGACACTTTCTTAGGGAATTAAAAATTCTCATACTATTCATATTTTTTAAGTTACTAACTAAAAAATCATTGTAACTTTATTCAATTTTAAATGTTATTAACTACGGATAGAAATTTTCATAAGAAAAATAAAGCAAGAAATATGTAAAAATTTTAAAAAATTAATGCTTGCACGACTCTATGTGTGTCAATGTTTGAAAATCAAAATGATGTATATTTTCATGAAATTCACGTGACTCTGTAACAAAAATTTGAACAACCTTCATTGTCGAGGACCAATTGTACAATACTAACAAACGTTTTAAAACTAACATCCAACTCATGTCAAAACAAAAAATGAAAAAAACTTGGGGAAGCCATTTGGTTGAACAAACGCCCAGCGAGGAGAGCTCTCTTTGCGGAAGGAGTCCAAATGAGTTGTGGGAACCTGGGAGCCAACAAGGGCACATCCTGCGATTTACCTCCCTGAGCTGCTGAGGGGCCGGAGGTTCAGGGACAAGGATCTAGTCGGACGCAAGTCCGGACACCTTGTAAAAAAAAAAAAAAAAAAAAATGAAAAAACCTAACCTACTATGGAACTAATGGCCGGAAGACAAAAACTCTATATTAATTGTTGTTACAAAAATGGTAAGTGTGCACTTTTTTTCACAGCCCTCTCACGAAACATGGGGCCCGCAAGTAATTATTTTAATTACGAGCCCCACCCTTCAATGTGAAAAGGCTGTTAATAGCATTGTACCTGTAGCATTCCTCTAATTGTTATCTTTTTTCAAAAGTGTAATGTTATTCATAGTCGCTCACTGTGGTAGTCATCCTACGTGGCATATTACATGACGATTTTGTGATTTGATGTATTAATATGATGATTTTTTCTGTTACATATATCAAATTACTAATCGTCATATACATGTCACATAAGATGACTGAGATAATGAGTAATTACAAATAACATTATTTTTTTCAAAATATATATTTTATTTTATAAAATATAGGAAAATGTTCTGCGTACAAGGCATTTTTCTACAAGGGTCTTACTGACCCCTCTCTGTAGGGGTGGCCCCATATGTTAAGTACAAAAAAGGAAAAAAGAAAAAAAATTTACATCGAGACCCGTCATGTGTGTGGTCTGACAGGGGCCTGTGATCGTAACAAATGTCACTAACTCACTCAAATTAGAGATGTTTTGTACAAACAAAAAGTGCATTACGCACCCCCAAATGAATTCTATCTAAACCAATATTTTAATATTCCAATAATACCCTCCACCTCATATTTACGAATATTTTAAAATTTTTTTTTGGCCCCAATTATTTATCCTCCACGCCAAAGAAACAAACCCTAGAACACAAAATTAAATTCCCAAAGTGTGATTTAGAATTCTCCAGAGATCAAAACACAAATTAGGAATTTCTGAGATCGAGTTTTTCCTTCAATTTTGATTGCAGGTGAGTAATTTCATAGTTTTAGGGATTCAACTTGGGGGCTTTGAACATGTCAATTGGTTAAATTTTTGGCATTGGCATTTGGGGATTTTTGTAATAGATTGTATCTTCTATGGTTTTAATTCATTTCCTATTGATTGACATGATCATCACATCCATCCACTTTTTAAATAGTCAAAAATATTTTTTAAATCACTGGTCCGGATTTTGCCACCTCCAACATTGTCAACAATGTTTGTCAACTAATATCATACAAATAATTTAATTCAAAAATTAAACTTGTGTAGACTCTAAATTTTGGTTTAATATTATTTTTTGAAGAATTATTTTATCTTTCAGTTTATAGATTAATTTAGAGCAATGATTTCAGAGATGCTGCTTTTTTTCTGTTTTTCTTTCTTTTTTTTTTCTGATTTTCGGAAGTTATTAAAAGTTCTTACCTTGATTTAACCAGAAGATCAAAATCTTTGTTTTATTTCTAATCAATATTTGGGGATCTCTTTGGATTTTTAAAGTTGATCCTTCTGGTATAGAAGTTTTATTTGCTTTTATGCTATAAGATGCAGATGCAGTTTTTATTTACCTTTTGTTCAGTTATCAGAATATATTCTTTCATATCTATTGAGTGGGGTTCTTATAAATATGTTGTTGAAATGACAGGTTGTGATTTCTTGTGTTCAATATTGCTCATAATGAGGCTCAAAAGAGGGAGTAAAGTAGATGTTATGAATAAAAGGGGTGATCCAGTCACGCGGCGTATGGCTGAGATACTAGCTGTCAATGGCCATACTTATGACGTGCAATATGATTGTTATCCAGGTAATGCAACTCAGCCGCTGGTGGAAAGGGTAACAAGGACATTATCGAGGCCATGCCCTCCTCTCGTGGAAGGTCTGGAGAATTGTATAGCCGGAAGCATTGTGGAGGTGTTCGATGACTGCTTATGGAAGATTGCCGTGATCTTGAAAGTTCTGAATGGCAATCAATATTTAGTAAGGCTTCTCGGGTGCTCTCTGGAATTAATAATCAACAGATCAAATGCTAGGATTAGACAAACTTGGCACAATGATGGGAAGGTACTTTACTACTTTCAGTTATTTGTTGAGATCTTAATTTTCTGCAGTACATGTTTCTTTACGTCAGTTGATTGACCCCCACATATTCTTCCTCAAGACAACATCAATCTTGCTTTGTTAGACGTTCCTTTTTCTTTCCTTTTTTTCCTGATTACTTGTAAATCCTTTGCTTGCAATCTCTGATCAACCAATGCTTCCTGCTTGAAGGGTTCCAAAGGATGTGATGATGATGGAAAAGCTAGCATGCTGTTGACTTCAGATTGTTATCAAAAGAAGAGCTTTCAGGCCCCAGAAGTTAATGCGATGGATAAAAATCAAGCTCAAAAGTATGGTGTGCACATTAAGAGTGATGCTGGAGTACAGGAATCTCATCTAGTATCGCCGAGGTCCCTGAAGAGGGTGTCCCCCATCTGCTCAGCTGTTATTGAAGCAAATAATGGACATGTCCAGAAGATAAGAGCAATTGAGAAAGAAGAAATGAAGAATAGGGTAGTTTCTGACCCCATAATTGAAAAGGTAGATGCTCTTTCTTACCCAAGAGAAATCCTGGGTGAGAAACACATGCATGCTTCCTTTAACAATAGATCATATGGATATAATCAAATGGAGAGGCCTAAACAAACTGATATTTATGGCTATAGTGGATTGAGAAGCTCAGAATTTAATAATTCTGATATTGATGCCTGTTCCGTTGGTAGTTGTAGTGTTAATAGTGAGAGTCCAAACAACTACTATAGTCATGTCATACCAGTACTGTGCCACGTGACAGATACTCCTTCCAGTGATGCGGAGTGGTGTTATGGTCCAGGCTCAGGCTCTGAGGGAAAAAAGGGTCTGCGTCTCCCAAAAGAAGTGGAAGCCAGTATCCATAGGTTAGAGTTGCATGCTTATCATAGCACTCTGGAAGCATTGTATGCTTCTGGGCCCTTAAGTTGGGACAAAGAGGCATTGTTGACAAATCTTCGTATCATGCTCCACATTTCAAATGATGAACATTTGATGGAGCTGAAGAATCTAATTTCTAGTAAAACGGGTGCACATGTCAGATAATGTTGAACCAGTGTTTTTATTTAGTTTTTTGTTCAGCATAGGATTTAATCCTTTCATTTTCTAGTTCAACATTGTAAGAAAGATGACCTGTTACATTGTGTATCCTCTGTCTTAGTTGTTAGCTCTGTGATTATCTAGAAAGTGATATTTGTAACTATGACAATGTCTCACATTCTTATTGATAAAATAATGTATACAATTGTTCCAAAGAAATGATTTTATTTTATCTGTATTTAGATTTGCTGGTTAGCATGCATTTTTTCTTGGTTCCAGTTATGTAATAGTGTTGTAAAACATCTTTACTGCATGAGAACTATTATTTTTGAGGCAGAAGCATTATGTACCTAATTGGCAGATTCCAAAGATCCATGTAACAACCTTTTATTTCGCCCTTTGGTATTAGATATCTGTTGTGATCTTCTACCAGTTTGAACTCGTTGAAATTATATGCTTCTATCATGAACTCCTACTGTGTGCAGTGCATAGCTGAAAACCAATCTAAAAGCTTGCACACCTAGTACTGTTCTGCTAAGGTCGCATATTGAATATTCCGAAGAGTCACACTTGATATTGTGTTGAAGTCGTAAAGGGAAAGGCATCTTTTAGGGGTTTGAGAAGCTACTAATTCAAAGTAGTCTAGTTCTCCTGCTGCTCATTGTAATGGAGTTTATGACACGAACTCATCTATGACTAGTTTTGAGTTGCATGTCACTTCTTAACTACGATTATGTATTGGTTGTAAACTATTATTAGTTTGATTTTCTCCACATTTTTTTGGCAGCACATAATCTTCTAGTTGAGAACGTTATTGATCAACATTCAATTTCCCATATTTTCCAGGTCCGCAATTGGAGGCATGCTCCAATTTCTTCCAAAGGCTTAACGATGATGTAAGAGTTTGTTGCATTTCTCTTGGCACAAATTATCAGAAAATTCAGTCTTCCACTTTGTCACAGAGTTGACAAACTTACGGCCGGTCTCTGGTATCTCTATTTAATCTATGTAAATGTATAACTTAATTTCAGGCTTATATCCTGATTTGTCAATGTTGTAATTATGCTTGATGAGAAGTATTAAGTCCAGCATTTTAATTTTTGGGTGTTCTGTAACTGCAAAACTTGCACCAAAGCAACTTTTTCAAAAGCTTATATGAAGCACCATTCTATTGCCGCTCATGTTTTTGAGAAATGTGATTGTTTTTCTTTCTCCTCCAGTTCTTTTAATCATCTTTATCTTTATTTTTTATTTTCATATGGTTTGCAAGAATTCAACTGGCAGGATAATCATAAGGATATTTTAAGATGTAATTAATATTTCAGATGTATGATTAAAGTGTTCTCCTTGAATATCATGTATTGGTGAGGTTCTGCAACTTTATTATTGGAACTCAACTGTGATAAGAAACAAATCGATGAATATCATTACATTCCTTGTGATATTGAAATAAATTGTTTTGACACTGCTGCAGGCTGGCTGTTCACCTCCATTTCTATGGTCTCATGGAGCTCTTTTGACTTGTTTTGGCATATGATATTTTCTCCTTGGAGAATCATATGAAGGAAAAAGTTGGAGCAGATTCATCTGTGAATACTCAAAGGAGACAAAATTGTGGAGTGGAGAAGCAGAGGGAATCAAATACATTCAGCAGTAGTTCATAGGAAATTTAGCTCCCGTTTGGTTTTCATTTTTTGGCCACAAAAATAAAAAATATGATTATTATCCTTACATCAAGCCACCATATTTGACTTTCTATCTCTTGTGTGGATCTCGTAACAATTATATTTTTCATTTTCATTCTTAAAAAAATGGGAATCAAATGGTAGTGAGATTGAATATCTAATGGGTTTATGGAGTTTGTTCTCGTTCATAAAGAGTTACAATTTTTACAGTTGTCAATTTACTATTTTACTTACTTCAGCCCTCTCGAGCATCTTATAATACCAAGTTGCCTTTATGTTCTTTTTTCGCTGGATTTTACATTCAGCAGTTCATAGAAAATTTAGCTCCCATTTGATTTCCATTTTTTGGCCACAAAAATAAAAAAAATGATTGCTATCTATTAAATCAAGCTACCATATTTGATTTTCTATCTCTTGTGTGAATCCCGTAACAATTATATTTTTCATTTTTATTCTTAGAAAAATGAAAATTAAAATAAAAATGAAAATTAAACGGTAGTGAGATTGAATATCTAGTGGGTTTATGAAGTTTGTTCTCCTTCATAAAGAGTTACAATTTTTACAGTTGTTGATTTACTATTTTACTTATTTCAGCCCCCTCGAGCATCTTATGATACCGAGTTGCTTTTATGTTCATTTTTAACTGGAGTTTACAGTTTCTAAGGATAGATTTTACAGTTTTTGTATTTTTCTAGGTAAAATATATTTGTTTTTAATTCGGTTCTTCATAATTTATGCAGTTATTTCTTATGCAATTTCGATATTCTTTTCTTGACAATGATCAACGTCTGCATTTTAATGATATAAATTCCAGTCGGAAGCAAATCGGAAGTGAGCATTAACCATAAAAATCTCTCATCCATGTGAACTGAGTCGTACAACTAGGATCTTCCCCCCAAGCAAATCCAAAATCACAATCTATCAAGAATGAGAAACCCCTACATTAGGAACTTGAATCCGGGATGGAAAAGCTTGACAATCCCAAAATAACAAGAAAATAATTTGGCCATCAAAGGAATGCACCACACAAGGATCCTTCTAATTGAAAGCTTTTACTCGAAGGCATCATCGTCGTCATCAGGCAATGGCTGACTGGCAGCTGCAGCGAGCTCAGCTTCATGCCTGCAAAAATTCACGACATTCCAGTTAATATTTATGTGATGAGCGTACTCTTGCATCTTGCGATGAGAGGGAAAGAACTTACAGATGCTGTGCAGCCAAATCGATTTGGACTTCAGGAGGAGCAAGTGCAGGAGATTCCACAAAGTGCAAGTTTTGATCCCTGTAACCACAAGAAACTTTGCCTTAAGCAACTTATATTGAAAACTTTGTCTTCATATATTTTTGTTTGATCCTCGCTAGTAAAAAAAAAAAAAAAAGTTTGAGAATGCATAGCGAAATACAATAGAAATCATATCAAGCGAACAGGAACAAGCAATGTATAAAAGTTGAATTACCAGTGCCACCATCGCCAACAATAACAAGCTTGAAGCTTGGGTAATCCACTGTCTGCTGATTCGGCAAGGCCTATAAACCCAAATAAGAAAGAAAAAAAGCTAAATCTCGCCAAATCGACGGCATTTGACATAATACCCTAAAACACAAATCAAATAAAAAACAAAATTTCCTTACCATTCGTTTGATACTGCCGTTTAGAGAGAAAAATCGATGTAGGCGAGAATGAGAGGTTAGATTTATGTATAATTTGTTTTGTTTTGAGAATTAGCGAGCGCGTATATATACGTATACTGGGAGCCCTAATATGAAATATTTTGAATTGTGCTTAGCTTTAAGCTGACGCGATTATTAGAACCGTTGGATCAAATTGAGGAGCGGAGCCACGTGAGATGCACATTACCTTAAATTTTGAATTTGAAATTGTTTCAAAACCGGCATATTGGACCATCGTTTTTGCCGGCCCATTCAGAAATAAAGAAGCAAGCCCTTTCTAGAGGCTCAACTCGGCTCGGTTGAAATTGTCGAGTTTTTTTCAGTCTCGAGCCGGGCCGAGCAAAAACCTTAAACCTTCTCAACTAGTTCAATAACCTTTGGACCATCTTCTTAACAAATAGCACAGCACTTCAAAGAATCAAAATGCTTTACCCACAATTAAACAAAAAAATCCCAAAAAACTAAGAATTACTAATGCTTCATAAGTAAATATTCATATTAACAATTGACTTAAAAATGACAAGGATTTCCTACTGCCCAACAATCAAAGTACTTAAAATGTAAAAACTCTTAAAAACACACTTACCAACTGCAAACTAAATGTTATAGTATATATTATAAGATAAGAGATAATTGATTCAATTGAAACAAGTAAAAAGGGAGCAACAAATGCTTCCTAATTGACTCCCAAAACTGTTAAACAAAAACTAGAAACTAGAAAGCTAAAATTACAAATTCCATTATTCCAAGATCTCAAACAATTTTGAATATCATTTAGTGCCAAGACTTGAACTGGGACTTTTATGCTCCGGTATTACGTTGATAGGTTACATAGGTATCAAAGGTATGCAAAGAACTCAATTTTTTTTTAAGGGGCAATCATTCCATTTCAATTATAAGCACCATCATTCATTCATTCCATCAAGTGAGTAAAATTTCAGTTCCCTGTTCTGCTGTTCATGTTCCCACATAATTAAAAGACAAACTAAACAAGAAATATATTAAGTAATAACTATCCAATAAGGCAATAAGCCAGTAACCCAAAATACAAAGTATAATTAAATATTCGAATGACCAACATCTCGAACAAATTTAATTATTTCTTCTGCAAATAACGGGAATGGAAAAGATATTGAAAGATTTTCAATACAACAAAACAAGTATAATTAATTGAAAAGATATTGAAAGATTTTCAAATTCTAAGAATCTAATTAGTAAATTACTTACCCTAAAACCGAACCCAAGTCGTCGATAGCTAGGCTTGAGGCGGCGAATCGGTGCGACTGTGCAAGTCTGTCACTCACGGGTCAGAAGTGAGTCAGGCCAGTCGGCAATCAACAGTTCCATTCGACCGGCGGCTACTGGCAGGGCAAACCGGCAAAGTGAAGATTTAGGGATTTTGACTTTTTAATTTTGGGAATTCTGTGAGTTGGTTTTGCAAATGACGGGAATGGAAAATGTTTGAAAATTGGGGATTAATTATTTGATTGCATGGTAATTATTAATGAAATGGGTATTATTTTGGGCCTAAAATTATATAGGTTAGTGGGCTACAAATTAAAGAAATTTTTTTTTGAAGTGGGCTAGCCCACTGAATTTATTTGTTAGTGGGCTAATGTAGCTGAATAATTACAATTCCAACACAAATTATTTTTTGTGGAAATTACACAAAACCATGCATTAACTATTCAAAATTCCTAAATTAGATTGAAACTTTAATATTTCAAAAACCAGATTTTTTTGTTAATTATTTAAATAAACTAATTACCAAAAAAATAAAAACCCTACCCAGCCGTCACTATCCATTACCATCTCCCCCTCACCCTTTCTCGTCTCTCTCTCTCTTCCTCTCACTCTCTTCTTCGGTGACGATCCAGTTTGGGGCTAAATCATCGATTACAAAGGCGGCGATGATTCAGTGGTTGTGGCTTTGGGGATTTTTTTGGGTGTGGATTGGGTTTTTGTTGTGGTGGTGGTGGGGCTGAATCACTAGAGGTGTAGGTGGCAGCGATGAGAAGGTGATGGTGGTTGTGGTGGTAAAAAGCAGTGTTGCGGTGATGGTGAAGTGATGCCTTGCCGTTCTTCCACTGCATGACACGACGGTAGCGTGCTCTCAAAAGGTTAGGCAGTGCTGGTTGTACAAAGTGATGATGCGATCTATTTGGTAGCACGCAACGATGATGACGATCTCCATTGGTAGCACAAAGCGACAGCGAAGAGATGTGTTTTGGGATCGAATCATTGGTTACAAATGTAGTGGTGATTCGGTGATTATGGCTTTGGGGATTTTTTAGGGTGAGGATTGTGTTTTTGTTGTGGTAGAGATTAAAGGCAGGTCGTGGCGATGGCAAGGCTAAATCGCTGGTGGTGCATGTTGTGGCGATGAGAAGGTGATACTGGTGGTGGTGAGAAGCAATGTTGTGGTGATGGTGAAGTGATGCCTCGCCGTTCTTTCACTTCGTGGAATTTGTCTCTATTAATGTGTGTTGGCATCAAAGGCAGCGGCAGCGATGGCTTTGGGGATTTTTTTGGGTGATGATCATGGTTTTGGTATGGTAGAGATTAAATGCTTGTTGTGGTGGTGGCGGGGTTGAATCACTGGTGGTGCAGGTGGTGACGGCGCTTTGGAGTGGTGGGATGAAGTGTGGGTGTATGTGACGATTTTATTGGTTGACTAAAAGTTGTGATCAATGTGGTGGCGGTTTTGGAGGTGACGGTGGTGGTGGTACTGTTGGAGGCAGCGTTGAAGTGGTGGTCGTAAGTGTTGGTGATGGTCACAGATTATTTGGTTTGTTTGTGACCAGTGAATTGGTTAATCTGTGATCAATAAAAAATGTGACCAGTGAATTAGTTAATCTGTGACCAATGAAAAAGATAAATTGTAACAAAGAAATAAAGTGTGACTTAAAATATTAATAATTTGTGACTTATAATAATTGTGATCCATGACCTATAAATTTTTTTATTTCGTGATCGAAAAATAATGTGACCTATAAAATTTTTGATTTGTGACCTAAAAAAAGTTGTGACTAATAATTTGATAAGTTGTGACTAAAAATTAATCGTGACTAATTAATTTTTTTATTTGTGATCAATAAACAAATTGTGACCTATAAAATTTTTAAATTTGTGATCGTAAAATAATTTGTGACATAAAATTTCTGATTTGTGACCAAAAAATAATAAGTGACTAATTAAATTATTAATTTGTGAACAAATTGTATAGATATGTGATCTAAATATATGTAATTAATAAAATAATTAATTAATTAATTAAATTATAAATAAATTTTAATAAAAATTTGATTTTTGAAGTTTGAAACTTGTTTTCTTAATTTTGAAATATGTTATACTTAATCTCTTATTTATGAAATTTTTCTTTTTTCTTTTTTTTTTTTGTATCTGGGCCTGAAAGACAGTAGGTTGCAGCCAAGTACAGTCCACTTCTGAATCTGTCCATGATGCCACCAAAATCTTGATCCATTAATTAAACAAATGGGCAAAATAAAATCAATAGAATTAAATAGTCGGATATCTGTTTGATACTTTGATTGCATCGATAATTTCCCGACTTGATCTTGATCCATATAAACATATCAAACTTGATCCATATAATAACATGAAAGAAGATCAAATAACCCAAAATTTCAGAATTTCTAAAACCCTTATTTCTCAAAGATTCAACAATGGAGTGACTCTGATACCACTTATAGGAAATTGAAAGGAACCAGATTCATCAATACTTTCACATATATTCATAATTCTCCATGTTGAAATCAATGAGAAAATAAAAATTACAGTAGCGTACCTCAATCCATAGATTTGAGTCTTTCTGAACGGATTATGATCTTCCAACTGTTACGTGATTTCTTGATATCTGTTTCTCTGTTGATGGGGATGCAGAGAATTGTTAAAAGTCACGCAATTGGGGACCATGACCTCATATTAAATAATTGATTATTATCTTTCAATTATTTTAAATTGGCCCCTCATCAGTTTAAAATAATTATTCTGGTCTCTACACTTTAATCCCGTCAGAATTAATACTCATTAGTCCAAAATTAAACTTAGTGGATCACCTTATCGACTAAACCTTAAAGATAGCACCACACATTTTAATATATATACATGTATGGCCCCGTATGATGGAATTTTTCCAATAGAGAGAGCCTTCATTTGCAAAGAAATAAAGATATACAAGAAGGACCAGCATTAAAACATATTCAAGCTGAATTGGTATGGAAGTATTGTTACCTTAATCTTTAAAACATTAGTTCATTCATAGTACAAGAAAATGTTTTAACCCTTGTAAGATAATCCATCATACAAGTCTTCTGGGGTTAAGAACACTTAGCAACTTTACATCATCGACCACTGGGCGACAAAGTGAAGCAAAGTCATCGCTCCTCATATGGTAGTATGCGCTGAGGAACATGACATGTGTCCTAGCAGAAACCGTCACAAACCTCAGCACAACGCAGATATAACCATCCGTGCCCTTGGACTCATAAAAATTTGTGATCGTAAAATAATTTGTGACATAAAATTTCTGATTTGTGACCAAAAAATAATAAGTGACTAATTAAATTATTAATTTGTGAACAAATTGTATAGATATGTGATCTAAATATATGTAATTAATAAAATAATTAATTAATTAATTAAATTATAAATAAATTTTAATAAAAATTTGATTTTTGAAGTTTGAAACTTGTTTTCTTAATTTTGAAATATGTTATACTTAATCTCTTATTTATGAAATTTTTCTTTTTTCTTTTTTTTTTTTGTATCTGGGCCTGAAAGACAGTAGGTTGCAGCCAAGTACAGTCCACTTCTGAATCTGTCCATGATGCCACCAAAATCTTGATCCATTAATTAAACAAATGGGCAAAATAAAATCAATAGAATTAAATAGTCGGATATCTGTTTGATACTTTGATTGCATCGATAATTTCCCGACTTGATCTTGATCCATATAAACATATCAAACTTGATCCATATAATAACATGAAAGAAGATCAAATAACCCAAAATTTCAGAATTTCTAAAACCCTTATTTCTCAAAGATTCAACAATGGAGTGACTCTGATACCACTTATAGGAAATTGAAAGGAACC